GTTCTGCCGAAGTTCAGGGAAGTTTTGCCGAATTTCAGGGAAGTCCTACCAATGTTCAGGGAAATCCTGCCGAAGTATTTATTAGATTTTTCGACTGGTACGTATGGAGATTTCTTTTATATGGCTTTCCCATTCTAGGGTAATCCAAACAGGGAAATGCAAAACTGACTGTTTGGATTACCCTAGATTGAGAAAGCCATATAAAAGAAATCTCCTGCCGAAGTTCAGAGAACTCCTGCCGAAGCTCAGAGAAGTTCTACTGAAGTTCAGGGAAGTCTTGCCAAAGTTCAGGGAACTCCTGCTGAAGTTCAGCGAAGTGCTGCCGAAGTTCAGTGAAGGGCTGCTGAAGTTCAGGGAAGTCATTTAATTTCAATTCTTGGAAATCAGGGAAGTCCTGATGAAGCTCAGGGAACTCATGCCGAAGTTCAGGGAAGGCCTGCCGAACCTCAGGCAAGTCCTGCCGTAGTTCAGGGAAGGCCTGTCAAAGTTCAGGGAGCTTCTGCTGAAGTTCAGCAAAGTCCTGCCGAAGTTCAGAGAAGTTCTGCCGAAGTTCACTGAAGGGCTGCCGAAGTTCAGGGAAGTTCTGCCGAAGTTCTTGGAATTATCTAACTATCAAAAAAATCTCCTTAATAAAGACAACCAACCAACTTCGGCCAGTCACGACATGCCTGATTTTTCCACTGCCGAATCCGTCGGCAAAACCATCAACAGGGGCGAAAACCGGCGGAGAATGTTCTAACGGACTGTGGGAGACCGATGCACACGCGGTAGTATTGACTAAGGTGAATTTCGGAGGGAGTAAATAAACTCGTTCCTTCAATTTACAAATATTACAGGTACGTGTATCAAGTAAGTAATTTAGTAAAGTTGTGTAAAGGTAACTGTTTGGAAGCCGCAACATTACGGCCCCTGTTGAAGCGCAGCATTCAACCAACAGAAGAAGAGGTAGGTGCATTGGTCAGCTGAGTTGGCTTGATCGATCCCGCTACTGAGTCACCTGGGATGTCATCAATTGGTAGCAGATACAGCTCCGTTGTTGCACTACGACGAATTCCGGATTGAGTGCCAACGTCTACAACCCGTACGATGTTGTCCTTGTTCGGCTAGACCGCAACAACGCGCCCGAGAGGCCATTGTTTGGGCGGAGCGTTGTCGGTCTTCAAAAAAACCATTGCACCGACCGTGAAGTCGGTAGGGATTTTCCTGCACTTAGCTGGACGCTGATGCAGCAAACCGATGTATTCTTTGGACCAGCGCTTCCACAAGTCGTTCATGGCTCGCTGTGTCGCCTGGAAGTGGGATCTGGCTCCGGAAGCCAGAAAGCTGGTTCACCCAGCAGGAAATGTGCAGGAGTGAGCACAGAGAGGTCTTCAGGATGATTGGAAAGTGGAGTTAAGGGTCGTGAATTCATGATGCCATCCGCCTCAGCAACGGCTGTGCGAAGATCGTCAAAGTGGTAAGGTGATCCTGGCGAGATGGTGCTTGAAGCTCTTCACCTTCCCAAAGCCCACCACAATCTGGTTCTCTCGGAGGTATGAACTGGAACTCGATGCCTCTTTCCAGGCATTCGGTAGCCCATTCGTTGAATTTCAGCTGCTGGACGAGTTGCAGTAGGATCTCCTTTATTTCGCGTAACGCGCCGACGAACGAGTTGCTGTAGTCGCAGTGTATAACGCGAACGCGATCGACGTGACTCACAAAGCGCCTTAACGAATTGACGCACGCAGCAGCTGGCATCCCGGCGACGATGTCCAGCACAACGGCTTTTACGGCAAAGCACACGTACATTGTGACCCAGACTTTGACCGAAGCGCCCCTTCCCGCGAGTTGACGAACGAGAAACGGCCCGCAGTAATCCAGCCCCGAGTGTTCCAAACTTTAGATGGTGTAATGCGCGCAGCAGGTAATGGCGGACGACAACAGAAACATGTCACACAACGATGGACTGTTCTTCGAGCGAGGTCTCTTCCACGGATCGGCCAGAAACGCTGCTTGATGGTCGCGAGCGATTGTGTTGGTCCGGCGTGCAGAGTTTGATGATGAATTGATCTGGCAATCAACCGTGAGAGATGATGATCGGCAGGTAACAGGATCGGAAAGCGATTGTCGAAGGTGACAGGTGACTGCGCAAGGCGGCCGTTCAAACGAAGAAGCCGTGCGTCGTCGATCAACACGTCAATGCCCTTGAGCGGAGTGGTTCTGTAAATATTGCAGTTCCTGATGGAAGGCTGCTCCTTGTGCAACTCGAATGTGAAATTTAAAGGCATTGTTGTCCTCGATCGCACAGTGGTCTAAAAGTGCCAAAACGTGCGTTTTTTTAGTTTATGCGAAAACGGTCCATTTAAGCCATATAGTGTCTTCGGAGAAGTATGTGCACTTAAAAAGCCCCTTCTTCTGAGCTTAGCCATTTTATGCGGGCGTTGAAAAATTTACTATTTTTGTTTTTCGAGGTAGCAAAATGGTGTCTTGAGCAAAGTTTTAGACAATATTAAAACAAACATTTTTGCTGTCGACCCTCTATCTCTTATATTTACAGAGATGTGTCATTTTTTTGGTAAGAGCCTTCAGAGAATCAATTTTTGCAAATAACTTTTCAGGAAGTAATTTTTTTGACATTTGTATGTTCTACACAAATGTTTGTTTTTTTTTAAATACGCCATTTTGTCTGAGGAAGCAAGTCCCTATCTTCAATATTTCTTGAGATTTTCATGGTCAATAGCTCGAAGTCGGGCAAAATTGGGCAAACCAAGTTGATTACATTTGAAAGTATACTTAAGATGCTGCGCAATGCATACCAAATCATTAGTCTTCTTTAGTATTCTCTGCTGATCTGCTTATTACCAAACCATAGTAAACCGTGTACAGATAATCGTTTTCTAGCATTTATACATAGAGGATCCTTCATACGTCACTTACTATTGGTGTTGAAGGAAAAAAAATCGAATTCGGTTAAATCGAAGAAGGCGTTGAAAAAAAAAGTAGGCGTTGCTCGTGTGGTAAAAGTTATGATACCAAAGAAACTGTAGTGAGCGGTTGACATGACAAGAAAGTGATTCGTAGTGTCTATTGTAGTGATTGGCTGACTGAATAAAAAGTGGTTCTTGTGGCAGGTGAGTCGCTAGTAGTGACCGATTGATTGAACGAACAGTGGTCCTTGTTCTTCCCGGAATGTGATTCTCGGTGTTTGTTGTAGTAACCGGTTAACTGAACGGATATTGGTCCTTGTTCCTTCCACTATTTGAGTCCCGGTGTCTGTAGCAATGTGTCATTGGCTTTCGAACGTGATCGGTTGAATATAATTACGATAATGAGCTCTGAAATATCTTTTTTTGGTTTCTTCAGCTAAGTGCAATTTGTTTTGATCGCGGTTTGAAACTTTCAAATGTTTTATTTTAAATATTTATAAACTATTGACAAACATGAGTTGTTTAATATTTGGAGGAGAAACGCAGGGAACCAAAATAAAAATTGGGTTGCGTAGCTTCTAGTTCCATCTACCGATGCATGAACCGATGGTGAAAGTAAGCGACAATTCTGAAAGTGACGAGGAAATGTGTAACGATAAATATTTTTTTTTCTTTGATATTATATGAAACGGTTGATGCAATATAACTTTATTCAGATATAGGTACTGCCCCTAATCTTATAGTCGACGTAACCACGACGTAACTGGTGGGAAAACGCGTTTTTGTTGTATGCAGCCGAAAAGCAATATTTTGTAACAATTTCATTCAAATAATCTGTCCATTTGGTAAAGATTAACGGTCAGAAGTGGGCCGCTGGGCTTTTATGATTTATTGCTTAATTATTTCATCTCAAAAACGCATACGCCAGGTTATGCGAACAAACATACGTTCTGCTGAAGGTTTATTCGCATAGCTTGGCGTAAAAACCAGGTTACTGTGTTTAAAGTAGTATCAACATTCACGGTCACGTTGACAGATTTTCTCCAAAGCTCGTTAGATTCAGTGATAGTGAAAAGGAATTCAATTTGGAAGAATTCAAATGTCCGGAAGAGGTGCCCTGGATTTACTGCTGACCTATGGTAGTTCCGACTCGGAAGATGAGATTGATCCGGATCTGCCGACTGCGATTACAGACGATATACAACCACAGCCAGCCGTAGCAGCCGCACCGAGGCAAAGGCCACCAACAAAGCGAACCTCGGAAAAAAACAGAGCGCCGGGAAAAAAGGTTATCTGACCGGAGGCCCATTTTGAAAGATTGTGGATGCAGAACAGTGTGTTGCGGCAAAATTGAACGTGACAGAAGATCTGACATCAATTCATGGTTCTGGGGATTGTCGGGAACGAAACAAAAGTCGTTCGTTTTGCAGTTCAGCAAGCGTAGCCCTGTAAAACGACGGCGTGGCCAGGTGAATCCTACTACCCAGAACTTTCGTAGACAATTTTCCTACGATTACCAACTTGAAGACGAAAGAGGAGTACCACATGATGTATGCTGCGCATTCTTCCTGAATACGTTGGGCTACGATATCAAAAGCAGGTTCGTATTTTCTTAATAACAATAAATATCTAATTAAGGTAATCTTTAATCATGCTAACTTTAGCAACATGATCTATCGATACCACGACCAAGCGCATAAGGATGGAGCACCAGCAGAGAAACGTGGAAGATACACCCGGCCTAGAACTCTTAAAGATACCGTCAAACAAGACATTTTCCGTTACTCACCGACAAACTCGCATTATCGCCGAGAGCACGCACCGCACGCGCTTTATCTGCCGTCTGACCTTTCGGCCCAGAAAATGTACGGTCTATTTAACGAGCGCCAGTTGGATGAAAAGGAAGAAAGTTGCAGTTATGGGTTTTATTGCAAAATGTTGAAGGCATTGAACATAAAATTCACACAGCTTGGACACGAAGAATGTGAACGGTGCCATGCCCATCACATCCACGAAAATCAAACTGGACACTCTACTAAAACAGACAACAACGAGCTAGAAGAAGGATCTTATACAAACCGGACCGCATGCGAGATGTGTTTGAATTGGAAGGATCATATCGCACGGGCAATTTCGGGGCGGGAGGAGTACGACAGCGATCGGTCGAACGTGACGATGAACGGATCGGTTTTCTCGGTCGATCTTCAAAAGGTAACTTATAAATATGGATTTACGAGTCCAATTTCTTACTCATCATATTAATGCAGGTGGTTCAGCTTCCAAGAATGGAATCCTTTAAGGAGGTCATTTTTTGCAAAAGGATCGTTGCTTACAATGAAACGTTTGCTCCACTGGGTCCCGTTTATGCTTTTTTGTGGAACGATGTGATTGCAGGACGAAAAGCTTATCACATTGCCAAAGTTTTTTACAAATTTTTCTCTTCTTTTGGGTCCAAGTTCGTTATCACTTTGTGGCTTGATAACTGCTCGGCGCAAAATAAGAACTGGAATTTGCTGGCCTTGCTTATCAACTCTCCGGCCATTGAAACCCATCAAATTAATTTGAAGTATCTGGAGCCCGGGCATACTTATATGTCAGCGGATTCATTTCATGCATCGATTGAGCGCACGATGAAGCGTGTCCCTCGAGGAGAAGCTTACAGTTTCCCTGATTTCATTGACTGCGTGGAAAAATCTGGAAGTGACATTAAGCCACAAGTTTTTGTGATGGAACCGGAGGATTTCTTTGAATGTTTATTCCATTTTAAACAGTCTGTACTAACTAAGCTCAAAGACCCACCAAAGATGGCAAACATCAAACATGTCATCTTTACCAGAGGTTCTTTTGACATACAATATTCCTATAACTACAACGACGAAATGAAAACACTACAGATACTGACGAAAAAACAGCTGAAGGAGGTTTCCAAACCGTCATTCAATTTGGTTGATCAGCTTCAACGCCAAACAGAAGCAAGTGGAATCCAAAAATCTCAGAAGGATATTATTATTAAAAAGCTTTTGCCCTTGATGCCGGAGGAGAAACGTGACTATTGGATAAATTTGCCAGAGACTGAATCAGGTGAAGATGTTTAGAATGGCGGTGTTGATTTAATCGATGTAAACTTGGACTTAAATATATCATATGTTGAACTGAATATAACGTTGTTGTGATTTCATAAATATGAAGAAAAATTTTCAAAGAAAATAATTTGCAAATCGTTCAATACTTCAGAACAGGTTAATACAAAAATTATCATATTTGAAGAGTGAAAGCGCCTCGAACGCTATAAGAAAAGGTTCAGTACGTTAAACGGCTTGATGGCGTGTTTGACGAACCACGTGTGTATGCTGAATATTGAGAATGCAAAAGCGTGTAAAAGCAGCTTGAATGATATGGGTTCAATATTGGAGGCGAACCAGCCCAAGGCTGAAAGCCTCCTTAATAAAGTTAAATAATAATAATAATATGGGTTCAAGTGTACATGTGACAAATAGCAGGATTTATATATTTGAAATATTGCAACCTGTATGGAGGGACGTCATTTTTGCATTGAAACGGCACTTACGCCAAATCGTTTTCTCAATATTACTCACATGTTTCTGAACAAAAAAAAATGAGTTTGCATGTGGAGTTTGTGTATTATATGGTTAAGAATGCGTAGAAACAAAAAAGTGGATTTTGGTCATTGTGGCTCTTACGTCAACTATGCAAACATGGGCAGGGTAGTAATCATTTGAGGTAGTAATGTTGTTTTTTATGTTCATAAAAAAATAACAACAGTAGCACAATTATACGGGAAGTCGTGACCCTATAGTAATAATCCAGTAATAAGCAGATTGGTAGAGAATACTAAAGAAGGCTTATGATTGGGTATGAATTGAGCTGCATTTTAAGTATACTTTTAAATGTAATCAACCTGGTTTGAGCAATTTTGCCCAACTTCGAGCTATTGACCTTGGAAATAGTGCTAATTTTGGATCAAAACCTTGAATATCTCAAGAAATATTGAAGATAGGGACTTGCTTCCCCAGACAAAACGTTACACTCGCTGCTGATAATGAAAAGCACAACGAAAACAGTGAAGACTTCTGCAGTACGATCATGAGAAAAAGCGAAACGACAGAAGAAAATGAAAACAATGCCTACGCATTCCAAGTTCGACTTGGCAGGCACGAGTGTGTGAGTTACAAACAAAGCAGGCAACATTAAACGGAAGCTGTTGGGCTCACTCACCGACACACTCACATAAGCAAGCAAAGCAGCAACTGCTTCAAAACGAGCACAGATGAGTGTCGTGATTGTCAGGAATGACCAGATCGGTGATGGATCACAACAGAAGACGACATTCACCAGTTGCTTATTACTTCTTTCGTCAACTTGATGGATGGTCATGGAGAGAGCTTCGACGAGCACATTGATAGGAATGTACAAAGCGTTACTACCATCAGCTGTGTGATGATCGTGATTGTGATAGGTCGCAACTCTGCCCATACCACCAAAGTGCATCATCGCTGATGTCCTCGGGTTGTACTCCGCGAGAAATTCGATCGGAAGGATTTTACAGCGTTGGAACGTGACGCCATTGGGGAGCCTTCTGAGGTTTTGAGTACCTCTGCTAATCGATTGGAGTGGTTTTATGAATGCTGTCTGCCAACTGACTTCCCAGAACAGCAGCACAGAGCTCCAAACGTGGCGTGGAATAGCCGCTTATTGGAGCGACCCGGGATTTCGCTATGAGAAGATTGCTTGTTTGCGTGGCGATCAGCCCTTGGGATGCTACGTAGATGCATGCTGCGTATCCTTTCGAAGAAGCGTCGACAATGCAGTGCAGCTTGTACGAAGATCTCGAATGACACAGACCGATTCTCGAAAGGACAGCCACCAAGATTGAAGAGTCTCTGGAAGTTCATCGTCCCAATTCAGTGCTCCTGCCTTAGCCGCTGAACGAACATCTACACGCTGGCGACTACTGGACGGATGAGACCCAAAGGGTCGAAAAGCTGCGACATCTCCGACAGGACAATGCGTTTGGTAACTCGTTGTAGTTGTGGAAGATCAGGAACTTTGAACGCAAAATCGTCGTTTTTCGGGGACCATAAAAGACCAAGTGTTTTGATGGATGAGGAGCGATAAAGTTCTAGTGACGATTGATTCTCCTTGAGTTCGTCTGGAAAGTGTTCCAGGAAACTAGGATGATTCGCGCTCCACCTGCGCAGATTAAAACCCCCTCTCTCTAGTAGGTCGTCCAGTTGGATGCTTGTGTCGACTAGTGTTTCGATGCTGTCGGCTGCAGTTAAAACACCGCCAACATAAAAGTCCTTCTTGACAATGGGGGCAGCCAGTGGAAAGTCATACCCTTCATCGTCAGATAGTTGATTTAGGACCCTGGTTGCCGGATATGGAGCACAAGTGACGGTGTTCAAACAATGCCCGTCTAGTGTACGGAAGTGTGGGTTCGATTCCTACCAGTAGACAGTGGATTTGTTTCGCGATTTTCGTAAACAATCTTCCATCAAAGCCCATGTTCTCTTGCCTTCTTGTTTCCAAGTAATGAACTCAATAAACATATGGATTACATTAATTTCACTGACATAAAAATATATATAAATAAAAACTATCCCAAAGACATCACAAACCTAAAACTAGCGGTTTAAGCGTAAACATTTTTGTCTTCTTAAACCGATTTTCAACCAATACAGTTGATCTATAGAGGTAAAACTCCTAGATAAAGTTCTTATCATACATCCATTACATCATAGCTTATTGAACTATTATAGAATAGCACACTGATAATTTTCGATATTTACTAATGTCGTTTTAGTTTTTGCTACACTACACCGGTGTAGTGTAAGCAGCAATAAGCGTGAGTCATTGACAGCTCATCATCATTTGTTTGTAAACAAAGGTGCAACCGATAGCTAGGGGAAAGTAGGTAAAGACGGACACCTTAAGGTTAAGTTGCAAAATCTGTTCAAATAATAATATATTTTTCGCACTTACCGTACAATGCGAGATTTAAGGTCACATTTTGTCATTATACTCACATACACCGGTGATTTTTTAACAAGTTTTCTATTTTCTATGATAATTAAAAAATGTCTCAAAATCGTAGTTTCTACACATGGTCGGGAAAGATGGACATAACGTATGAGTAAGACGGACACTTTGAAGGGTAAGATGGACACTCACAGAAACTGAGTTATGTGTGCTAAAGTAAGCTTATTTTCAATATTACTTGAATGTTCTTCGATTCTTAATGAATGAATACAACATTTTGATGTGTTTTAAAACTTGTTTATCAACAGAAACTTAACGAAAATTCAATTCATAGTTCAAACAAATCATATTCAAATCAATTCATGTTTCAGTGGCAAAATCAAGTAGCAGGAAGTAGTGAGCTAAGAGCAGTTGTGGCAAACAGTTGTAGCAGCAACGTGGCATCCCGTGTGAAACCAAGAAAAACATTGCAAGCACATTGTCCATCCTATGCCTGCATCCGAATCCGAAAATTGGCAACCGCATTTGTCACACAGATTGTCAGATGAGGTGTCTGCCTTGCATTACTTTTTCTTGGGGTTCTTCGACGATCTTTGCTTCCGTTCCTTTTTAATGGATTGTATGTCTTTCGATGCTTTTGCCTTCTTTAAGGTATCGGCATACTGATTAGATGTTACGTGAGCTGCCTTCCCTGCTTGGCGTTGCCTTTTGGTGACCCTCGGGGTTATCATTTTGGGCAATGGCAGTACTTCCGATGGTGATACATCGAACAACGGTGTATTTGCAGCTGTTGAAGAGCTATCAGTTCCAGAGCATTGGGCCATAATGTCTTCGGGGAGCACCTGAACGACTTTATCTTCACGTAGGAGATGATCTCCATCCGATGGAACTAAAGTGGGTCCAGGATCCGATTGATGCGCTTCTCCTTCGCGAGGTACCTCAGCCCAAGCAGGTTGATCAGTCACTAGTGACGGAGCAAAAGCATCCTCGCCAAAAACGTTGCGATTACAAGGCCAGATTCCAGTTTTGCAGAACCCGTTCACGGCCACACTCATAGTGGCTGCTTTGATGAATGCCGTTTTCGTCAGCTCTGCAACGTCGTATTGACCGACTACCTTTCCTGGATTCTGTTGCATGAATCGCTCCACTTCAGATGCGTAATACGATTTGAAAGGTGCCATAAAAGACACATCCAGTGGCTGTATCTTGTTGCTGCAATGGGGTGGCAAGACCAGAACGGTGACGAAGTTAGCTCTAGCTTTCTGTGTGAAAGGTAGGTTCTTCGTATGTGAAGAATGTCCATCAAAGATAAGCAGGGCAGGCTTATCTTCAGATGGTTTCACATGTTCCAAAAAATGGTCGAACCAGTCGTTGAAGATTGCCACTGTCATTTAACCCCACGGATTGCATGCGAATTTACATCCACATGGTGCCCCTTTCTTTAAAGCATCGTGCATCCGCATGCGAGCAAAAATGAAAAACGGTGGAAGGTGCTGGCCGCTTGCTGACATGCACATTACTGCCGTGGTTGTTTCTCCGCGTTCTGCAGATGTTATACCACCTACCTGGTTCTTGCCTTTTAACGCCGCAATTTTTCGTTTCTTAGGGGGAACCTGTGAGAAATGTAGATGAACCTATTTATTTTTTTTTTTCATTAAATACAAAATGTAGACAAAACTTACAGTGCACACGCCAGTTTCATCAGCATTGAAAATGCGATTTGCCGTGAATTTAGGATTGGTGAGCGCTGCTTCCAACAAATCGTAAAAAGCTGACACAGATACCCTATTAAACCCTCTGGCACGGGCGGCAGAGGTAGCTTCAGGCATCCGGAACGACAATTTTGGATTTCGTTTAAGAAAATTGCTTAACCAGGCTTTTCCAGCAAGCTTGGTACACTTGTTGAATGGGTGCTGCAATCCGTTCATTTCTGCCAAATCAAAAGCCAGTTTTCTAACATCGGTCATCGTAATCCCGTAGAATCTTTTCTCCAAGTCCAGGAGATGCTGTACCAGTACCTCTTCCTGTTGTTGATTGAACACGGTAGCAAGTGGTCCTAGCCGTGGAGAGAGATTGGGACTCGCGAGGTGCCTCATCAGTGTAGTCCGTGGGATAGCATTATTCATAGCTGCTGATTTCACGGACGTCCCGTTTTTCACTGCTTTTACAGCCTGATCCAACTGCTGGTTGGTCCACGACTTCCGGTTGCTCTTGCGAACATATTTAGTAGGCATCTGTTAATCGAAATAAGTAAAACAATCAAGATTCATTCAGCACCTTTATGTCCGTCTTTCCCAAATCTTAGAGTGTCCATCTTTCCCAACTTTATCACTATTTTTAAAACGTCCATAGCTCTTGACTAAATATCCAAAAAATTACCGTTTCTTCACCAGATGTGTGGTCGATGATCAGGATAACTGGTTATCGTAGAAAGAACGCAGAAACACAATACCGTTATGACTTAGAAGCAATAGTCCGTCGACGCAAAATTACTTCCACTAGCGTATCCACGAAGAAAATATTTGTTTTGTTTATAATTTTGACAGTTAGCGTCTTCGATATCAACAGTGAGTCCCAAAAGTATTGCGACACTATATCAAAAGTTGTTCCGTCACTGAAACATTACATGAAACTTTTATTTACGAATTACGGTTAGTGTCCATCTTTCCTGCAGTGTCCATCTTTACCTACTTTCCCCTACACCCTGAATTTTTCGGTGTTCGGCGGTGTAGCACCGGTGTAGCTTCACCGCAAAAACGAAAACGACATAAGCAACCGAGGTCAATATATGTCAACAGGCTCAAACAATATCTTTGTTGTAAGTTATTTGAGATCACAAAAAAATCTTCCCTAATAAACTATCAAGATTGCACTCTTATCCTGCCCGAAATCCATCTCCGGAAAACAGTTCACGTCGCACCGACTCATATCACTTCCTGTTACAATTTCCAGTTTGTTGCCCACAGGCCATCAACACAGAAAACTGCGGAAAAATCATGGCCCCGCCACCGCCGACGTCGCCTTCCCTCCCAGGATACGTTCACTTTGCCGATAGTGAAACACTCGCCAGGCAAATATTTACACCAGCCAGATACAACGTTCCGCTGTTTGTGTATAAAAGTTAGTGTGAAAATTATCTGCTGCCAACCCCGTTTTTCCCGTCCAGGCCACAGTCTATTGGAACGCGAGCTATTTTCCTTTTCGTTAAATTTCCCATCTGCTTCGCCTGTAAATGTTTCCGTTCGTCGTTCCTAGCTAGCCAGGTGTTCCCTCCCCCCTTTTAGCATTGACCCCCAGGGGAAACGATGCGGAAGGAAATCGAAACAATAAACAACTCTATACTGTGGAAGAGAACGATCAGAAACTACCTACACACCTTACCTACCGCTGAAGAAAAGGGGAGAAGTTTATTTTTCGCAATTCTACTTCTCATCGCAGGGACTTCACCAACCCCGTCAAACTCGTGGAAAAGTCGAACAGAAAAGAAACTTTTATTGCAACTTTTAGTCAATCTCTTTCTGATTGCGACACCGGCCAACCGTCGTCGTCATCGTCGTCGTGCTAGAGTTGAAAATTTGTTTTTTTACTCACCCCACCTCCCACACCAACCCCCTTTTCTGCTGGGTAGGTATCATCGAAATTGAACAAAACCCCCAAGACTACAATACACACACAGCTGTTTTAATGCCTCTTCCCCGAAAAAAAAATATTGCCATTCGACCCTTTTCCCTTTTCTCATCTGGCGCGCGCGGAACAGACTGACAGTTGGTTATTCTTTTCCTCATAGCAGTTTCTTCCCCCGTTCTCACCGCATATAATCGTTTCAGAACTCTCCAACCCCCGTGTGCTGGGACGTGACGAACTCCGGGAAGTCGTCGACAGTAGCGGACGCCGCCGACGACAGTTGCTCAAGAGGATGACAAACTATGGCGAACTGCCAAATTGGAAAGGTACTTTTATGAGCGATCACCCTCTTTGGTTTCTCCTCTTCAACTATGTAGAGAGGTATGTACTTTGTGCAGTTTACACATAAACATGGCAGTTCTTGGTTTATGGCAAACGGTATTTTTATTGAGCCAGAATAATTCTCTATATGCGCATCAATCTGGGTCTGGGAAATTCGCAAACGGCAGCAATTCGTAGCCAAAAGTGAGCGTAGTTAAACTTTTAGTTGTCGACATAAAGCGTTTGGGTCGGTGCTTTACGAGGCAGTTGTTCGGCTGCATTGTGAAGGTACACAAGGGTTAAGATTTCAATTGATTCTCAAGCGAGTTTATTGGGAGTCATTCCGGAACTGTCGGTGAAAAGTCGAACATTTTATTTTTGATGGTCAGGGAATTGAGCTGGTGCAGTGATTGGGTCCAATTTCGACATTGAAATAGCAAGCAGTGCCCGGAGAGAGTCTATTATGATAAGAAATCTTTAATGTAGGCCCCTTAATTTCCGTTAAAAAAAACAGAAAATTTAAAAAAATTTAAATAAAATGTTTTATAAATAATAACCTCCTGGCTAATGTTTTGTCTCTTTAATAAGGCACGAATTAATTAATAAACAATTCTAAAATGATCTCCACGTCAGTCACGTCACCCCAATCTCAACCTTTCTGAGACCAACTCTAAATTAATCTCAAAACTCTTGTAAAAAAGTGTGTAAAAGTGTACAAAATCGAGTTAAAATACGGAACTTATTTAATAAATCTAGATAGAGCTGGAATGGCGTAACAACTTTTGTAAACAATGACTTCTCTCGATGATTTCTAGGAATTCAAGGCATGCTCACGCAAACCAACATAATCATCGGGTAGGGGCAGTCTTCCTCTACCCAATGGTGATGTTGATTTGCGTTGGTGAGCCTTGACTTTCTAGAAATCATCGAAAACAATCATTGTTTACAAAAGCTGTAACTATGGCTAATTCCAGCTCTATCTAGAAATGTATTCTACACACTTCTTTTGATAATGGAAGATCGAACTTCACGGATCTCATAGAATGTTAAGAACTTGAAAAACTATCCACTTTACCCCAATTCCTCATAGAACTGCATGGAAGTTAAATCTAAATTGACTAAAAGGAAATAAATGTATTCTCCAATATTCTGATGATAAAAGATTTGGAGAATTCATGAAATATAAATACATTCTGCAGCTTCCTATTGATAATCCGTGCGTAACCAACCATCAGACGTAACTCTTCATTGTGTATCTTCGTTCACGCATTTAACGGTTGATTTGAATATAATCAGTTCCGCGAACTACTCGCCGCAGCGCTGGCATCGGATCACTTTGACGTTTCTATGCATTCTATAGAACTTTTATGCAATATTGTTTGCGAGTTAACAAGCAAGCTTGTTTTCCGCGAGAAGCCTGAAAGATGTCGCTACTGAGGTCCTATGTTTTGTGATACTATGTTTTCAAGAAAAACTTTTTCAAAGAGTTACGGCTGTTTGTCTGTGCAACCATATTCTCCATAAAAATGGATATTGCTATTTTATCAATTCTTGTCCGATTTTGATCAATTAGCTTGCAATAGTTTGCTAATTTCATCTTTTGTACCCTTAAAAGGTTAAGCAATATTTATTTATTTGAAAGGAACTCGTAAGATCCACGACTTATTTAAATAACCGCTAAGACCCCAGATTTTTTTTATTATTATTGTTTTTAATAAGACCGGAATAGTGCTTAATTTGCGAGGGGGCGACACATCTAAATCTCAATTATAGATGCTCGAAAAATCTCACACTAGTGAATCAATCTTCTAAAAAAATCTTCTTTCATTTCTCGCATCTACTTACATCGCGCATCAACTTTTTGCAGGAAAGCTTCAGAGTCGTCATCAATCCTCTTTCTATATACTCAGCGTACGCGAAGCTAGCCACAGCAAACCACAATATTTCCTGCATCGTAGGTAGAATCGTTAATTTGTACATGCTCAAACATTGAAATAAATTCCTGATCGATTGAATACTATTTTATGATCATCGATTAATAATTGAAAACAAATTGAAGCTAGCAGGGCTGGTAGTGGGTAATTTTAAAAAGTCACAAACCCATCAGTCCGCATCGTGCTCTCTTGCGATCCACTTGTTCGACTATTATTCCTCTTCGATCCTTGATTGGACCCTACCCGAGGTAATCCTGCTTGGCCATCGACTTGAAAAATTCCTCTTCGATCCTTCGGATTCTTAAAGTAATCTGTTCGGAAGTCGATTTGGAGATACTTGGTTCTGCCACCATGGCACCTAGGCGCAAAAGAAAAGGGCAATCGCTTGATCTCCCTTCTGATGAAATTCAATTGAGCAATCAATTCGATATGCTTACGGATGATGACAATGATCTATCATCCAGACAAAATTCCACTAAACTTTCCCGGCTTAGTGCCAAAAAGAAAGATGTTCCCTCTAAGCCTCTATTGTTGTAATCACTTCCGATTTCCATGCTCTTCGCAAGGAACTTTTGAACTTCGTTCCATTTAAGTTTTCACCGACGGGGTGAATGCCCTGTATTGACGGAAACCTTGGACGGATTCGAACGTCTTCTCAAGTACCTTACTGAGAAGCAACACACATTTTTTAATTACGACACCAAAACTGAACGTCTGTTCAAGGTTGTCTTGAAAAGTCTGCCCAGTGGCGAATCCCTGGATCAGATCAAAGATGAATTGACTTAATTACTTGGAGTTGAGCCTGTCCTAGTAATCAAAATGAAAATGAAATCCCGTCCTGGCGATTCACGCAACGGGATTTCCAATGATTTTTATTTAGTTCACTTCAAAACTAGTGAACTTAACAACCTTAAGACCTTAGAAAAAGCTAGCCTTATGATCCATGTCCGAGTGAAATAGAAACACTTCAGTAAGAAATTTCCAAAACCTCACCCAGTGCCGTAAGTGCCAGGGATGGGGTCACGGGACCAAAAACTACTACATGCCAGCTAAATGCATGAATTGTGGTGATTTTTCTCACGCTAAGGACGACTGAAGGGACATCCTTGAAATTTAAATGTTCAAATTGTGGTGAAAATCACTAATCAAATCCTCAATTTCAACGATTAGTTCCCTTATATATAGATAAGATTAAGTTTTTTATTTTTTTTATATATATATCTTTATTAAGGAAACGGCTGAAAGTCTCCTTAATAAAGATATATAAAAGAAAAAAAAAAGATTTAGTTTTAGTTTTTTTGTTTTAAGATGTCAATTGTTATACTGACATGCTGCAGGTTTAAAAAAACCTGTTTAAATACTGAATTTCCACGGCAGCAACAACGTAAAAACACTTAGATATATATCATAACAATTAAGGTTGGTACTGTAGTAGCTGGAGCACGTAGGTTAAAAAGAAATGTAATTTATTTTGAATTTGGAACAAATAGAGTTTAAAAAAGGAGCATGAGCATGATTGATCGCCCACGGTTGCTACTCTGTTATTTCCAGATCAGCTGTAATTACACAAAGAACTAATAGACGATGCTTGGGACTAGCAATCATCCTCAATGTGTAAAAACGGGGGATCTCAAACTAGGCAATACCAGCGCCAGCCGCGCCCGAACGGAGGTCAAAAAAGGAGTTGGGTATGAATGTGTTGACGTGACACTCGCTTTATTGGAAGCCGAGAACACCTCTGCACTTCCACGAGGAATCAATGGGATGTGGGATAAAAGATTTGGGATTTGCAGCAGGGTTCATTTTGGTAAACGATAAGCTGAATTGATATCATAACGATCCTATACGACGAAGGAGCTTCCCGAGCATAGTCGGTTAACAAAATGAAAGCAAATCGATATTAAAGTTTGCAGTTCCTATCACAATGAAAACTAATTTTGATTTCAATTGCCGCGACAGAAGTCTGATATCATATTGTGCTTTCATTATGCAGTCAAGACTTTTTAAATAAAAACAACTTAACTTGAAGTTCTGCTGATAACGTCTTGTTTAAAATTTAATGTAAGTTCATCTGTTGTTGAACTAACGATTATTGTTTATTTGTTTTGTATAACACATTTTAGGTCGTTCGTGTTTTGCCCGGGGTGAGATTTGAGCTCAAGTCTTCCAGCGTGAGAAGCATGAAACCATTTACACCAGGCCCGTATTCAGTTAAACAACATGCATGCAAAATCAGTAATCAAATTGATTTAATTGATAGCAGGATTAGTTTTCCGTTTGATTCAACAGTGTAACATTTTGCTCTCATTTTTGCTGTGTTAACCGTTAAGTCAACCAAAATGAGATCAACTGGAGTATTCAAAATAGGTTACATCATAACAGCAAATTTTTAATTCAATTTGATCTTCAGCTTTGCTCGGGTTGGGATTGAATCCACGGTCTTCTGCTCAGTAAGCAAAAACGTTTGCCACTAGGCAAACGAGCTCCTTTTATTCAACACACCAATGATCGATTTGTTGTTATTACAATGTATTCACATTAACAAATAAAGCGATTAACAAATCTCGTGTGTGAAGGAGCTTTGAGATTGAACTCATGATGTTCTACTCAGTAAGCAAAAATGGCCGCTCTAAGGCCACCAAGCCCCCCATATCACATCATACAAGGTGACGTTGATTGGTAGTTTTGTTCCTTATCGAAAAATATTAGACCGGTATTTTTTTTTATTTTCTCATTAGGGCGACCATTTCCATGTTAGGGTGGTTCAAAAAATCGTTTTTTTCTATTTTTTCAAAAAATTATATTTTTTTTAAAAATCACAACTTTTGAATGGTTCAGTGGGTTTAAATAATCTAAATATCAAATAAAAGGTTATTAAAAATACTTTTCGGAAAAAATATTAAAAAATTAAAAATTGGAGTTTTGTTTCGAAGCAATTTGGATTGTATTTGTTTTTTTAATGGTTTTCATGGTTTGGTTTTCATGGTTTGTAGACTATGTTGCTACACAACATATAAAAAATCAGCGAGGTATTTTTCTTCGTTTTTGAGCTACGATTTTTTGAAATTATC